TCCCTTCCTAATTCTGCAAAACAAACTAATTTCTCTCTCTTACAGGGGCAAGCCTGTTTTTTGTAATATCTGCATGCCATAGACGAACCCCCTTCTACCTCTAAAACCCCCGAAAGCCCTAACTCTAACCAAACAATGGAAACAACTGCAAGCATTACTTCCCAATCAGATCCGACACCAGAAACCAAGCCACAAAGACCAACCATAAAATTGACCAAAGCACCCAACGACTATGCCCACTTCACAAGAAAAACATCCAAAAGACCAGTACCTTCCATCCCTGAAAAGAACCTTGTTCGTAAAAAACCCACTAGTGAGAACTCTTAATTAGAACCTTAATTTGCTTTTACTTTTCAATGTTTTTATTTCGACCTTAATTTTTCTAATGGCTTGTGTTGTGAGTGTTAAAGTGAATGGGTTGAACGACCCCCGTCGCACGAATTAAATCTTGCATCCCCTCTATAACCTTAAGCCTGATATTCTCTTTTTGCAGGAAACCCCCCTCAATTCCGCTAATGTTAACAATGTATTTTCGCAATGCCCCAGGACTTCCTTTCATTCCTTTGGTAAAGATAATACAAAGGGTGTCTATATTCTTATTTCTGAACGATTAAAAACCACAATCCATTCACGTCATACTTGCGACACAGCCCATCTAATTTTTCTTGAACTTTTGAATCGAAGACAATAGATTGATCTTATGCAAAGTGTATGCTCCCACAGGCGGTCTCCCAGGCATTGCAAAACAATTTTTTAATGAGCTCACTAAGGTGTTAGACAATTTTTCTCAAGACTTTTCTATAATTTTAGGAGGTGATTTAAACTGTGTTTTAGATCCTTTTGATCGCTTTAGCCGAGGGGTGTATCACGAGCCAAAAAAGTGTATATGATTTTCCAGATTTCTGAAATCCCTCAAAATTTGGCAATGATTTCCAGATTTCTAGTGGGATTTCCCTGGATTTCAGGGATTTGTGAAAATAATCTTTTCAAACTTTTTCACTGTGTTTTCAACGATTCCGTTCATCTACGAACATTTCTATATCAACTATGAAGTATTAGGCACATTTAGGTATCTACTGTACAATAGTTATCGGTAATATTAGTTAACTCAAAACAGAAACCACCTCTAAGGAAAAGTTGCTAAAAGCCACATGAACACAGAATTCTCAACGTAGCTAATATTTATTGGACAAAAGAAAACTCAAACAATGAAAACAGAACTTTGAGTCTACATTAAATCGAAAGTCATCTTTGACTGCCACCGAGGTAGCACCTTTTTAAACACAGCAACTGAAATGGAAAATGAATATTCTGCGCTTTCTATCAAAGAAGAATCGTCAGTTGTAGCTACATAATTTTCCATAGAAACATATCCTGGAGCAAAAACCAAGTATAGTGGCTTGAAATTTATTATCTCAGCATTCTCTGTAGAAGTTTTAAGGGTACCTTCAAACCAATTTGCAAGTACGCCTATTCCTTTATATGACTCCTTTGTATGTCCACGTACATAGAGTTGTACTGCCTGTCCCTTTTGTTTCCGGTGAGGTAGGAAAATTGGATGAGCCTACCAATCAAGCACTTAGAACTGTCAACTCTTTTGAAAAGGCACAAAACTCCTGAACTCACTGCATTCTGAAGGCCAATTTTTTCATTTTCTGAGCTGCTGAATATGTGGCTTGGTTGCTAAGCATGTACACGTAGGAAAGGGTCGTTTTAAACTACAAAGTTCTCTTGCATGAGATAAAGCGCTGTTGATTTGCGTATATAAAGTCCCGTTATACATCAAAAAAGGACACTTTGCACTCATTGGCTGCCGCTCTTTGCGAACAAAGCTGTATGTCATAGAGGGTGTATCCAGCTCGTCAGGAAATTTCTCATAAGTAGGAAGTCGGAGTGTAGTGGTCTTTCATAACTTTACTTGGGCAAGATCTTCACAGATAGCAGTAACTTCTGATTGCGATAAAATTTCTGCGTTATTTGTTACTGTTGAAGACTCAGGCTGCAAAATTTCAAACGATTTATCATCATTATGCACTGCCTCGTCCACAACATGTTCGACATCTTTAACAAGAGAAATGTCGTACAAGGTCAGTTTGATTCCACATCTCCTGCAAAAATCAATTGCATCTTCCTTAGCACTCACAATTAGGCCTGTCCACCGAAGGTCGAATAATCGGTATTCGGTTACCTGTTTCACTATTCGGTTAGCTGAAGTCCAAAGCGAATATTCGGTTACAAACGAATAGTTCGAATAGTACGATTATTCGGTTACAAACGAATAGTTCGAATAGTACGATTATTCGGTTGGAGACGAATAGTGCGAATAACCTCACTGTTGGAGGTCCACAATGGTTGTTTGAATAACCGTGACTGATCGAATAGCTGTGACTATTCGAATAACCGTGACTGATCGAATAGCATTGACTGGTCGAATAGCAAGGATTGCTCTAAAAGGGAAAGGCAACTTCCTATCTTCAATCTTCGAGAAAGTTTCATGGATACGGGCCTTCTTCAAAAATCGCAAACCCAAGAAATAATTACAAAGCGAATAAAGCAAGATTGGAGGGGGCAGGGGGAGTGGAGCCTGGGTTGCAGGTGGGGGTCATGGGGCTTTTTCAGGGCCTCAGACGAAGGGTGGCCGGGGGGCTATG